GCAAGAGAGAGTGAGAGAGGAGGAAGGCAGGAATACAGAAACGCGGAGTGAGGGGGGTGGGGTGGGCGGGGGAGGCAGAGAGGGAGAGGGAGGGAGGCAAGGAGGAAGGAACGGAAAGTTTATGTACATAAACCTTTTTTAAAAAGTATTGTTGCACCTGGTAGCTAGCTTTCGTGACACAGAAATGAGAGGTCTGTTCAGTGCTTAAATAGCTGAGAAACAATGGGATAGTGCAGGAAAGTTAACAATTAACAGTCTCAGCTTAAATTTTGTAACTGCAGGGAACTGGAAACACAGCTGCCTCTCTCTTCAACAAAAGCGGGTCTCCTGGTTAAGAGAAAAATTTTTAACATCTTAAGTTCTGAAAAATAAGCAGCTTAGAGTTGAATGACTATCGTTCAGCTATGGTTTTAATCAGCCTGCTCATACTTAACTATCTCTGCTCATTTTAAAAAAGAGCAGCTGAGAGAGGAATAGGGAGGCTTTTGAAATGCCTTTTACTTTGCTCTCTTAAATGAGGGTACAGAGCAATAAAGAGAGTTGAAGGCATCCAGCTGAAAAGAAGCAGCAAGGAAGATGGGTCTGCTAAGTGTGGATTTGCTGATCACGCTTCAGATCTTGCCGGTCTTTTTCTCCAATTGCCTCTTCCTTGCGCTGTATGACTCTGTGATTCTCCTGAAGCACATGGTGCTGTTTCTGAGCCGCTCTAAGTCTGGGCGCGGTGAATGGAGGAGGATGCTGACCTCGGAGGGGCTGCGCTGCGTCTGGAACAGCTTCCTCCTGGACGCCTACAAGCAGGTGAGTGCACGGGGATGGGGACTGTCAGCTTGGGATGGGTGAGCTGGGATGAGCATCCCGCTTGTCAGAGAAGAAGGAAAGGGAATGACTCTATGCAGTGCAGACTATCTCCTATATGATGTTAACTTTGATGGGAGAGGTATAAGCTGAAGGGATCAGTACTTCTAAGTCGGAGCTAAGCGTTCACGGGATTCTGGAGCTGCTGACTCTCTGCTCTGCCACTAACTGTGCAGCTGTGGCCATGTCACTCAGGTTAGGTGTGCCTCAGTTTCCTCACCATCACGAATAATAATCTTCATATTTTTAAAGTATTTCAAGATCTTCTTATAAGAATAATTGTAAAATGCTCTAGATATTTTCACAGCTGTTATTTGTTTGCCGTGTGAGATTCTCCGATATTATAAAATGTCTGCATCTTTAGATAGAGCTCCACAGAGATAGATGTCAGCTACCGTAGCACAGAGAATTGTTTTGCTTAGAGTAAAACACAGAAATGAACCATTGTCCTGACACTGGCTTTTTCTATTACTCATGTTAACTTTTATGTTGGACAAAGCATCCAAGTAATAAAACTAGGCACAGAGTAAAATAGTGACCTTTTTTTCCTTCATGAAAACAGTGACAGAGGGACATGTCAAGAGGTTAAAAATGAACTTGATTAGCTGTCGGACAGCTGCCTGGTGATTTAAGATAATAAAGCCAATAGCAGTTATGCAACATGTACTTTTATTTTCCTCTTAAGATTTCTTCAAACATTACCCAGTAGTGCTGCCCAGGTCTGATGAGGTAGCTATAGTTCCCTTTTATAGATTAAAAAGGTGGACCCAAACCCATGAAATTTCTTGCACAGACCACCCAGTTAGTAAGTAGAAGAGCTGAATTCAGAGTTCTGTGGCTTTCAAAACAGTGCTTAGTCTGTTGATGTGTTGTCTTATTTAGACCATCTAATTTTAATATACCCCATGTGATATCATCCAAATGACAGGTCTCTTTTCTGAAACATTTCTTTTTGTATCATCTTCCCCCCCAATTCACTTTTTCACCTCTACAATGGCATTTGTATTTCCTCTTATCTAAACATGTGAAGAGCTGGTGGTGTTGGTGTTTTCTGGCTTTGTGATATGGAATACAATCTGCTTAGCCTGAAACCCAAGACATGGGGACATTAATTTTCAGTGTAAGACAAATATAAATAACACTATCTTTTGCCAAATGGGTCAACCTCTTACTGCCACCTTAGGAATCATCCAGCTGGCTACCCAAGTAAAATAATGCTGAATGAAGCCCACTATTCTCCTAGCCTGTTTAGTCTTTGTTTTTATTCCCTTCATAGACATTAACTACATTTTACAGTGGCCTTTGTAAATGGGTCGGTGAACACAATCATTCCCATTTTACAGACAAGGGAAGGCAGGACAGTTAACACATGACTTGGTCAAGGCTCCAGTGGAAGTTTGTAGCACGACTCTGTGACAGTCAAATTTCCAGTTTCCACATTTGCAACCTGTGTGCAGTCTGGGATCTGGAGAAGTTGTGAAGCTGTAAGGAACCTTATATTCATAAGATATTTTCAATCTCACTTTCCTTAAATTACACAAAATGATTTAAAATTAAGATATTGCCTGCCTTTCTGTAGTTTCCAAACTAAGTCATGCTTTGCCTTTCCTTCAGTACTGTTGATGTCAGCCGTGGATGCTACAGGGATGATGACTCTATTTTTGTGCTATTTTTGGTGTTGGTAATGAAATTCACCCCTTGAACTTTGGCAATTTTGTTCTCTCTCTTATCACCATTAAATGACCCAGGTCATTCAGGCTAATCAGGCTTTAAGGTCCCTAGAATGAAATCTGGGCCTCAATGAACTCGGCAGAAAAATACATATAAATATAACCAAATTTTATCACCTTGTTCCAAAAAGGGGAAAAAGTCCATTCATGGCAGTTATACTTAAGGCAAAAGGAACTGACCAACAGTTAATTCATGGAAAGACTCTGTTAACAGAATTATGGGCCATAAGCACAGAAGATAATTGGAAAACCTTGATTGTCACAGAAAGGTACTTAAGTGTAGAAATCAAATTATAAAGGGGACACAATAAACTGAGGAATAATATTGGAAGAAGAGTCATCACCTCCACAATAGATGAGAATCTCCTTTTGTTTCTGTAAGGAAGAAAAAGGAAAAAAGTTTCAGCTGAAAGGTTGTACTGGTAGAATTGAAAATGATTGAAACGTATTCTGCTTTGTGACAAGTTTAAAAAGCATGAAAAATAGTGAAATATATTAAAGAATGTCCCACAAAGCATATTTGTCATTACATTACCCTTTTCCAAATCCTGACTAGGACTGCCCAGTTATGGTATCTTAATCTGAAACAACTATGAAGGGCAAGAAATGAAAATATCATGGAATCTGGACATTAAACAGCATACCAAAATGCAGTCAATACCATAACCACTTGTGCTTATTGGTCCAGTTTACTAGCTGAAGTCAGAAATTAGCCAAGTACTTAAACAGGTACTTAAGCTCATTCCATTGAGGAGTATTTATGAAATAACCACTATTTTTCAGCTTGAATAATAGAATTGCAGATGTCTGAGATAACCAAAGGTAGACAGCCAATTAGCAGAAGACTGGATCAAAAAAGTAACCATGCTTAGTTTTATTGTGTTTTGTGTTACTTACATAGAACTCTTCCTGTGTACATTTTCATAACATTTTTCACAAAAGCACCTGATGTAAAATTTCTATTTACAGAAAAAATTATTGGAAGCCATTCCAGAACAACACTGTGGGTAGATGCTCTTTTCTAAATTAAAGTAAATTTACTGCAAGAAAGGACCTCTTCCTTGAAAACACACAGACTGTCCCAGAATGATTTCTTTTTTTTCCCCAAGACTAATGCCTACAAGATATGACCTTGGAATGGTTAGAGTATATTTGAAAACAGCTATTCTGATGTATTTTCTCTTTTTCTAGAAAAACTTTTTAATATCTTACTCAAACTTCAACTTTTTTTTTCCTGCTTTTTCTTCTTATTAAGTATTATTGCACATGACTTTCTTGAGGGCAATCATTTCATGGGTAAGATTACCTAGCAACAGTTGAAGATTTTAACATCCTCAGTGGGGAAACAATGCAAAATTTTTGGTATTATATGTAGAGCATATTTTTTTATTGGAACATTCTATATGACTGTTTTTTTCCACATATGAGAGTTCTATTGGAATCAAAATAGTTGCTCTTTTGTTTATTTTGATTTGTAATGTAAATTTTGTCAATGATTAATATATTTTTTTATTTTACTTCCTTAGTTCTCAGTTCAGTATTTGTCACACTCACTGTTGATACTGTCTACACTACACCAGGTTTGTGATTTATAGACCATCCTCCTATTATTTCCCAAGAGGCAAATGTGTCTTACATTACAAGGGATTCTTTAGGACCAGATTAACTGTTATAACAGAGATAAATACAGCTAGCAGTCAAGTTAACTTTATATAATTGAAAGTGTGTAAAAGTTTTGTTTAAATATTCTTTTTCATATATGTATGTGTGTGGGTAAGAATTTACACTTCTGTATGTGTTTGCATGTATAAAGATATATATACCTGAGTGTATCGTCTGTCTCTATACTTGTACATACATATATGTATAGAAACGCAAAAGTGCACATACGTAAACATACATAATCTAGTCTTCCAGGAGTCAGTCCTCTCTCATTTCTCTGTATATGTGTACACTTACATGTGTGTGTATGTATACATATGTATGGATATGAATGCAGACACAATTACTGATGAGAGAGAAATAATGAGACTTTTGGGGAGGGTGTTAGTGTGACTTCTGCATGATTTACATGGACTATTTCTACAAATACCAGTGAAGCATTTGTTTTACCCTACAGTATGTACATGTATCACACATCTGCAGAAATCCAGAAAAAAAGCTAGCGAAGTTTTGTGGGAAAAAAAATTCCTTTTAAAAGCTTTTTTTACCTTCTTAATTCTTATGATTTATTTAGTACTGGGATGGATAGGCTTTCTAGGGTTTCAGGGGTGAGAAATCGTTATCTTACAATGCTTTTAAAATGGGTTCAAAAAAGTTTGTGCCCATTAGCAAGTGCCCAGTGTTGAGGCCTCATGCTGGGATCGTTTCCAGTGCCAGATATGAGCTCTGTGTTTCAGCAAGGTAGAGTTACCATTCCTGATCTCCAGTAGAGAGCTCTAACATTATCCTTGAGGAGATCATCCCTCTTCTCCACCTCAGTGCAGGGAAGACAGGGGGAAGACCTTAATGGCATCTCCCTGGAGCAGCCAAATCCTTAGGAATGCAGTGGTGCATCTATGGGGGCAACACACACGTGTGCACATAACACACTTGTGTGTAAACATGCGTCACAGGCCTTAGAGGGATGTTGGTATCTCAGGTGATGGATGGTGATAGGTGTGGTGTGTACTTGTATAGCTTTTTACTGCCTTTAGAGTGGGCCAGCAGCAAGCTCTGGCATGACAACCCCAACACAGGGGAACGGCTGGCACAGGATCCCAGATTAACAGCATAGGCCCAGCTTTGGATGTAGCAGCAAGTCAATTGGTTCAGTAAACACCCCGTGGGATTTTCCTGAGATTTCAGGGAGGAACAGTTAAATTACTTTGGCTACTTTTGCCTGCCTGATAAGTACAACTTCCAAAATAAATCCTTATGCAAAACAAAACTGTCCAAAAACTGACATGTTAAGCACATCCTGCATAGCATCATCACAAAAATATCTGTGAAAGTAATATAAAAGCATGAATCCTCTACCTATCTTTGGCTGTTCAGTAACTCTTTGCTTTTTGGGGAAATCTTTTAAAGGTTGGAACAAAGATATAACCTCCATACTTTGTATTTGTTTTGTCTGGCAAGGTAAAGAAATGTCTCTCTCTGCATTTAATAGTGATAAAAGGGAATTTGTGAAAGAAAGCCTGTTGTATAATTTCAGGGTTTAGAACTAGACAT